GGGGGGGGGGGGGGCACAGGCAAAGGGAGCCACAACCGCCCTGCAAAAAGAGGGAGATTGGCCCAAAAGCCACTCCAGAGCCCGGCTGGGGGATGCCAGCGCTGGGTCACTGGTTGTCCCCCGGCTGGTACTGGGGCTCGGTGGCGGTGAAATAATCCTCGAGGAAGGACTGGAGGTACTCGAAGGTGGGGCGCTCCTCGGGCTCCCGCTTCCAGCACTGCACCATCACCTCGTGCAGGGACGGGGGACAGTTGCCCGGGCACTGCATGCGGTACCCCCGTTCCACCTGCTCCAGCACCTCCCGGTTGTTCATCCCTGCGTGATAAGGAAACACCCCCCCCCACCTCGCTCAGCAACCAGCACCCCCATGGGACGAGCCAGTGGGGAAACTGAGGCACGCGGAGGGACACAGCGGCATTGCACTGTGGTTTGGGTAGGGAGCCCAGCTTAACACAGGTTTCTCTGGTGGGGAAACTGAGGCACGGGCTTGCCCCTGCCTAGCCCACCCCCAGGGGACCTGCTGCCCCGGGGGGGCCATACCTGGGTAGGGCACCCGGCCTTTGGTCACCAGCTCAGTCAGGAGGATTCCGAAGGACCAGACGTCTGATTTGATGGTGAACTTCCCAAAAAGTGCAGCCTCCGGGGCCGTCCACTTGATGGGGAACTTGGCACCTGCAAGGGGAGGTAGGTGGGCTGTGACTGGGGCACCCTGCTGCACCTGCACCCGGGGTACCCCACAGCTGGGCACCCAACACTGGGACATCTTGCACCAGAGGCACCCTGTTAGCGGAGCACCCTGTACTGAGGGTGTCCTACACCCAGGGTGCCCTGTGCTGGGACACCATGTGCTGGGGACACCCACATCCAGGGCAACCTGTCCCTGGGGTACCCCACACATGGGGCACCCAGCTCTAGGGGTACCCAGCACCCAGGTCAACCTGCACTGGGGACAGCCCATATCTGGGGTACCCATCAACTGGAATACCACACATCAGCTGGGTACTCATCTCCCAGGGCACCCATCACCCAGAATACCCGTCACCCAGAGTACCCATTCCTTGGTGCACCCATCACTTGAGGCATCCATCACCCAGGTTACGCATTCCCTGGGTCACCCATCCCCTGGGGTACCCATCCCCTGGGGCACCCATCATCCAGGCCACCCAGCATTGGGGGTGACCTGCCAGGGCCAGGGTGTGTCGCAGCACTTTGGGGACAGGGCAGGGGGGCACGGAGCCAGCTCACCCTGGCGCGCCGTGTACTCGTTGTCCTCGATGAGGCGGGCGAGGCCGAAGTCAGCGATCTTGCACACCAGGTTGTCTCCCACGAGGATGTTGGCAGCGCGGAGATCCCGGTGGATGTAGTTCATCCGCTCGATGTAGGCCATCCCCGCTGCGATCTTGGGGGATGAGAAAAAAGCAGTGAGGATGCACCCCAGATGCACCCCCCTGGGTGAGGACCCCCCCACTCCGTACCAATCTCCCCAGTACCTGGGCAGCCATGTCCACCAGCTGGGGCAGCTTCAGGTAGCGGCCATCCCCGTCCTTGAGGAAATCCAGCAAGCTGCCTGCGGGCAGAGGGTGCCCGTCAAAGCACCCAAGAGCCAGCCGGGCCCACCCAAGGGTGCCCACCCCTGGCTGAGGCCTTGCAGAGGAGCTGGGGGAAGAAAAACTGGAGGGGGGGGAGTCTCGGAGGCAGTGCCCCCCTGCTCACCCTGGCTCATGAACTCAGTGACGATGTAGATGGGCTCCTCGGACACCACGGCGTAGAGCTGCACCAGCTTGTCGTGCCGCAGCCGCTTCATGATCTGGGCTTCCTCCAGGAAGGCCTCCGGGGACATGGTGCCCGGCTTCAACGTCTTCACTGCCACCTTGGTGGTGCCATTCCAGGTGCCTGGGCCAGGGACACGAGGTCACCGCGAGCCCAGGGGACAACCAGCCCCTGGCAGGGCCGGGATGGAGGGGTTCATGGGTGGAGGGGTTTGTGGATGGAGGGGTTCGTGGGCGCATGCTTCCACAGATGGATGGAGGGATGGAAGGATGCGTGCATGGATGGAGGAGCAAGGAAATCCGAGCAAGGCAAGGAAAGGGCATAATACCACCGTATCCCACCCAGGACAAGGAGTCCCCTCGCCACACAGCATGGGGACAAGGCACCCATGAGCTCATCTTACCCCATTCCCCATCCCTCCACGGGGGAGCCTGTACCAAGCTGCCATCCCCCCCCAGCAGTGGGTACCACCTGGCACCCCGCGCTGCTGCCTGCCAGGACAGGTCCGGATTGCTTCTGCACATCCCCTGTGCCCTCCCCTTCACCCCCCGGGCCGGCTGGGCCAGCCTTACCCATCCACACGTCTCCGAAACATCCCATGCCGAGTTTCTTGTCGAGGCTGATGGATTCCCGCACTATCTCCCAGGCATCCTTAGCTAATCCCAGGGTCTGGGGCTTCATAGTGGGGCACGCCCGGGTTAGCAGATGGCACAACCCGTCGTTACACTCTGCAGGGGGGGTCGGAGGAGGGGAGGAGGGAGGGAGGGGGTGCGATGGGATGAATGCAGCATGCATGCCGAGCGGAGGGAGCGCGGGGCGCTGGAGGAAGAGGATGATGAAGAGAGGACCCCCCGGCCTGGTTTTGTCTCCTGCTTGTTGTCCCATCTGAACCCGGAGGAGGGCTGCTTGCCCACGCAGGGATGTCATGGGACATCCTGGGGTACCCACTGTGACCCCAAAGCAGGACATGGGGCATTTCCCCATGTTGGCAAACTGGTGTTGCAGGAGCCCTCACCCTGGGGAGGGTGCCAGGCCTGGGGGTGCCCCCACCATCCCCCCCCAACCCACTTGCCCCGGCTTGCCCGCCAGGCCCTACCCATCCACACTTCCCCGAACTGCCCGTTGCCCAACTTCTTGAGGAGCTGGAGGGACTCGCGGGGGATCTCCCACACGTCTTTGGTTTTGACCGAGAGGTCGGCCAGCTTGGGC